AATAATGAAGGAATTGTTATATATGCCTTCGAGAGAAGTTGAAAGGAGAGAGAAGGCCAGAAGAATCCCTAGCAGCCCATCCGAAGGCCTTCCTGGGATGCTCAAACTCAAAAGCTTGTGCTCCGGCCATTTCAATACTTAAACACTTGCACAGACAAGAAGAATATTATACGGACAGATCAAAGATTATGGCAGACAGGATGAGAGAGAGTGTGTGAGTGAAGTGGTGAGACTTGAGAGAGACGAATACGAGGAAGGAATGAAGGTGGGTGGAGGGTTATTTATAAGGGAGAAGGGGAGGGTGGGTCTTGACGAACTCGATGATGCACACTACTGCAACGCGTGACGTCAGTGCTGACGGGATTTATGCTTTGAACTTTTCGACCGCATGTGCCAAAAGGAAAAAAGGTCAGCCGTAAAAAATTGAAAATTTTTTTTGTTCTATGATAATAGACTTGTGAACTGTTCAAATCAGATTCTAATTATTAAAATTTATTTATCTATTTTTTTGTAATAATATTTATTTTTATAAAACATTAAATCTGAGTTATTGAAATCTTGACTCAATTGTTGTCGAGAAAAAAAAAAAAAGATATAAAGGAAGGGAGGATGATGGAAAGGACGGTGGAGGGAATCCCAGTCCAAAAACATCTGCGGGTCAAATGGAATTCTACAGCATTTTTAGTAAAATATTACAAACAGTAAAAATATTTACCCAAACACTACATTGTGAGAATTATATACTGATAATCTGAGATGCTGCATTTTAATAAACTCGATCACGCTCTGATGAAGTTTCACTCTGACACTTGCATTTTTTTAAAACAAAAGGGAAAACTCGTTCAGGCTGTGAACGAGTTCACCTCTTTCCTTTCTCATGTGCGGAGAAAATTACAACTGCATACCCTATCTTATCAAGCTGCCACCCCTTCCTTCTGAGGTTTGGATAAAGTTGTAATTAATGCCCCATCTCTCATCCCTCTGTGTCTACTCCTTCCCTCTTCCTTTGTTCTAGATCTCCTTTCAAATAGGAAAGATACGAGTAAATTTTGTAAAAAATTACTTTTTATCTTAATACTTAAATTTAAGAAAAATAAATAAATTAGATTCATACAAAATGTTTATAGATCTTCACTAATATATCCAAATTACACATATTTAATTATAAAATATACACTATATAGGATTGGGATGGATCTTTCTCACCATCTCAATTAGATATAGATGATAAGGACAAAATTATTAACAATTGCAGTTGCAACTGTCCTTGAAACTCCATTGTTTTTGTTGCTTTCAAGACGAGTGGTTTGTAAGCTTGCAGTCAATTATATAGGATTGGGATTGATCTTTCTCACCATCTCAATTGGAATTAGAATTGTCAATGATAAGACACCGCCATTTTTGAATGAGTTTATGCCCTATTTCCTTTTTATTTTATTTTTTTAGTTTCCTCCAAAAGTTTTCAGCCCATTCGATAATTCCTTGTCTCAGCTAGCAAGCATCTAAGGCGATGAAGAAGAGGAGAGGAGGTGAGTGAGGGAGAGTGAGGTTGCCGTCAGGTCATCATCACCAATCCGAGTTCATGGTAAATCTGAAGCTTTATTTTTTCTCAATTTTTTTTGTCAAATTTATGTGGAGAGCTGAGCTGGAAGTTCACAAAAGAATTTATAACTATATTTTATTTTAGGTAGATGGCTCAATAATGACTTGGCATGGATTATAGATGATAAAGGCAAAATTATTAACAATAAAAAAGATGAAGGATTGGGTTTTAAGCGAGTTAAATTTTTTGGAGTTGAGTCATAACGAGTCATAGTTGAGGAGACCGAGTTCTAAGCAAGTTAAAACTCGAGGGATTAAAAGATTAATTTTTTCTCTCTCTGTTTTTTTTTAAAAAATCGAAACTGAATCTATTGCCCAAAAGAGAATACAAGCCCTACAATACTTCGAAAGTAAATCTGAAAAGTAAATGTAAGAGAGACTTTTAGCATAAATTTGCCATGACTTAAAATCTCTAAATTATACAGGTGAAAAAATAAAAGAAAAACTTAAAATTATTAGTGAACCGCAATTCGATGAGAACGCTATAACAGCAAAATGAATTGTGATTCTGGCAACAACAAAAAAAATTCTGATATCGGAGTAATTGGCTATTTGGCTTTCGCAATTTCTTAATTGAACCCTAAAGTATAAAATCTCAAATCGGGATAGCCCAGCCGAGAAGTTACATCCTGTTCTTCGAAATTTCTCCTGCGCTCGCCGTTTATATCGCATCCAGAGCTCCGATCGTCCTCCAGCGGCATCCCTCGTCTCATTTGTTGCCCTAATTTGTGAGTTCTCTATATTGGCCAGCAAAATGGTGTCTGGCTTAATAAATGCTAATCCTATCATCTACAAAAAGAAAGAGCGCCGAGCTCGCACTACGCCCACCTTCGCTGATGAGGATGTTCCGGAACCGATTGATCAACAAGAAGTTTTTGATATGCTTTTCAACCCTCAATTTATATGTATGTTTTGTGTGCTTCTGTTTATGCAATTTTAAGGTCAGTTTGCTTAACATTCTTAAATCATATAAGGGATATTAGAGACCCAGAGCATCCAAACTCCTTGGAAGAGCTCGGAGTAATAACTGAAGATGCACTTGAAGTCGATGATCAGCATAGTTATGTCAGGTATTGAACCGTTCGTTCATCTTTCCCCTCTCGCTCTTTGGCCTTAATTATGTCTGTCGAAACGTCCTTGTTATTCTGGATTCTGATGCTTTGCGTCAGGGTTACGTTTACTCCTACACTTGAATATTGTGCCGTGCCGAGCCTCATAGGTCTATGCTTACGGGTGAAACTCATGAGGAGCCTTCCTTCGCGCTACAAGGTATCGACATCTGTTTGCAGCTTGCCATTTTTTTTTTCAGGCTAATAATCTAATGTGCCGACAAAATTTTTGTGGAAAATTGGGTCTTGACTCTTGACTCATGTATGCATTGAAATTCTTAGTATACCATATATATTGTGAATGTGGCTTGTCATTAGATTTCAGAATAGTGGAAGCAAGCAATATAGATAGACCTGCGGGTCCATGCAATAACATTCTGTTTGATTCAATATCGTTGTGGTTGCTTGCTTTTACCTTTAATTATATTTTTCTTGAGTATCGTAGGCTGTGTCTTGCATAACAGAGGGCACACACACACACACGCACACGCACATATTATAATGATGAAAAGCCAATGTCCAATTCTGTTGGATGGTATAATACTACCAAGTGTGCTTACTCCTATCCATAACCCATGCATCATGTAAATTTCTATTATATGAACTGCAACATGAATGTACTGTCAATCACTATTATAATACACAAATTATCGATCTGTGGCACCCTTTTAAGTATAATGTATAGCATTCTTGGAGTTTAGATCAAATTCTACTGATTTTTAGACACCCTTTCTATTAAAGGTGTATCTTCTCGACTATCTTATTATCTTTTTTCAAATCACGGTTAGGTGGATATCAGAGTAGCGCCTGGATCTCATGTGAAGGAGGCTGAAGGTTCTCTCTCTCTCTCTCTATAAGTACATTTGTTTGTCAGTGAATGTAAAATCGGTGCTTTTAAAACTGATGTAGAGAAATCATATTATTGCTTATTTGCTTGTTGATTTTGTGTTTCTTCAGTGAAGTGATGCGTACCAGTCATTGTCTTTTACAGCAGATTTTCAATCGTGTTATTGTTCCTGGAAATCAAATATATGTTTCTCCCACTAGATTCAGATTCAGATTCAATACCTCGGTTAACTTTGATGCTTGACTATTTTGCACATCTCACAATTTCCTTGATTGAGTCTTGAATTTTTCATTATAAATATTTGATTATGACTGCTGGACTTTCTTTTTTTCCCTTTGTTTAATTCAACTTCTTTTGCAATTGTACCTGCAGTTAATAAAAAACTAAATGATAAAGAAATGGTGGCTGCCGCACTGGAAAGGCCATACTTGCTGGAAATGGTTGATGAATGTTTAGCTCCATCTTTTGGTTGAAGGAGCTTTTCATCCCCCGATGCAATAATAAGATGTGGTACTCATTTTATGATTGCCAGCCTCATTGGTGATGCAATTTTTGCCTACTATACGTTCATTTGAGTTTCAGATTAGGAGTATGCAGCTGGAAAAAGTCATGGAAGTGATACTTTCATATGATTCTTTATTATGAGCTCCAGAAGAAGGAAAAATATGTTTTCTATTCTCATGTTTCTTTTCTTGGTTTTGTTAAGACTCTTTCTTGGTACTGTAAATTGAAAATAAAATCAGCTTTGTCCATCTGGTAGGAGCAACTGGGCTTTGTGTCTCTGCGTATTGCACTGCGCTCGAGCAGACTGCGTTATTCTCAATCTAAATTTATTTTTTTAAAAATGATGTCAGTTATAATATTTTTTTTTAAATTCTGCATCTGTGAATAGATAATTATTTAAAATATAAAAAATTAAATTAAATTTGAATCATTTAAAATTAATCTAGATAATACAGATTATGATGAGCACTCCAGATAAGCATGAAAATATGAAATGTGTTCTCGCAGAATGGCTATGGTTGAGTTACAAGTTGTTCTGAGTCTGTAATACGATGGGAACGCTGGAACGGCAATTCGGATTTGGCAAAAGAAAGACGCTCTTCGTAAATACTGGCATTTGGAAAGCTGTACAAATACTTCAAATAAAAAAAGTTAAAAATTACTAAATTTTAAATTAGGGTTGATAATAATATTTTATTTAGTAGTATTAATAATACCGAATTTATAAATAATAATAAATTTTTATTGACATCTTTTATTTTATATTTAGTAATTTTACAGTTTTTTTGTCATTTAAAAAAATACTTGTATTTAAGCAGATTTCATAAAATTAATTAAAAAAATCTGATATGGGAGTGTTATTTTTTTTAAAAAAAAATTCTGAATTGAACCCTAAAATATAAAATCATGAATTGGCATGCCCCAGTCGAGAAGTTTCATCGGGTTCTTCGGAATTTCTCCTGTACTCGCCGTTCATCCGTCGCAGGCAGAGCTCGATCATCCTCGGGCGGCTTTAGTTGGCTTCCCCTCTTACCACTCAAAACACCTTTCCCCCTTCTTTATTGCCCTAATTTGTGAGTTTTCCAGCTCCTTCCTATAGGATCCCTTCTTAAATCTGTGAAATTTGAAACTAAAGCAGAGCTCTACATTAGCCGGCACAATGGTATCTGGCTTAATAAATGCTAATCCTATCATCTACGAAAAGAAAGAGCGTCGAGCTCGCACCACGCCCACCTCCACTGATGACAATGTTGCGGAATCGATTGATCAACAAGAAATTTTTGATATCCTTTTCAACCATCAATTTATATATATGTTTTGTGTGCTTCTGTTTATGTGTATTATTTGAATTTGAAGCATTAGAATTTAGTCTTCTCGTCAAGTCAGTCAATTTTAAGATTAGTTTGCTTAACATTCTTAAATCATATAAGGGATATTAAAGACCCAGAGCATCCATACTCCTTGGAAGAGCTCAAAGTAATAACTGAAGATGCGATTGAAGTTGATGATCAGCATAGTTATGTCAGGTAGTGAACAGTTTGATCATCTTCCCCCTCTTGCTCTTTTTTTGTTGGGGTTGTTTCGCCTTAATTATGCATGTCAAAACTTCCTTGTTATATTGGATTCTGATGCCTTGCATTAGGGTTACGTTTGCTCCTACAGTTGAACATTGTAGCATGGCAACTATCATTGGTCTATGCTTACGGGTGAAACTCATGAGGAGCCTTCCTTCACGCTACAAGGTACCAACATCTGTTTGCAGTTTGCTATTTTGTTAGGCTAACCTAATATGTGGACGAAATTTTTCTGGAAAATTGGGTCTTGACTCTTGACATGTGTATCATGCAATGGAATTCTTGGTATATTGTGGATCAGAAAAGCTTGGAACCAGTATAGATAGACCTGTGAGTCCATGGAATAACATTCTATTTGTTCCAACATCGTTGTGGTTGGTTGCTTTAACCATTGTATTTTTTCCTGAGTATTGTAGATTCTCTTTTGCATAACAGAGGGTATATAATAATGAAAGGGCAATACTCAATTCTGTTGCATGATATCCTACCAAGTGTGCTTACTCCTAACTATAACCCATGCACCATGCTCGTTTCTATTATGAACTGCAACATGATTGTACTGTCAATCAATATTGTAATACACAAATTATCGATCTTTGGTACCCTTTAAAGTGTAACGTATAGCATTTATGGAGTTTAGATCATATTCTAGTGATTTTTAGACACCTGTTCTATTTAAGGTGTATCTTCTCAACTATATCTCTTTCTTATTTTCTTTTTTAAAATGACGGTTAGGTGGATATCAGAGTAGCACCTGGATCTCATGCTACTGAGGCTGCAGGTTCTCTCTCTCTCTCTCTCTCTCTCTCTCCCCCTCCCCCCCTCCCCCCCATCTCACACAGTGTACATTTGTTTGTCGGTGAATGTAAAGTCAGTACTTTCAAAACTGATGTAGACAAATCACATTCCTGATTTGCTTGTTGATTGTGTTTCTTCAGTAAGTGATGTATACTAGTGATTTTCTTTTACAGCAGATTTTCAAATGTTGTTGTTCCCGGGAATTAAATATATGTTTCTCTCACTAGATTCAGATTCAGATTCAGATTCAGATTTAATACCTCAGTTAATTGAGTTTAAGTCATCAAACATATGCTGTAATTTGACCCAGTTGCCTGTGCTCCGTGTCCTTGATTGAGTCTTGAATTTTTTTTTATTGCAAATCTTTGATTATGACTGGACTTGTTCAATTCAACTTCTTTTGCAAATGCATTTGCAGTTAATAAACAGCTAAATGATAAAGAAAGGGTGGCTGCTGCACTGGAAAATCCAAACCTAGTGGATATGGTTGACGAATGTTTAGCTCCATCTTTTGGTTGAAGGAGCTTTTTATCCCCCGATGCAATAAGACTGTAGCTCCCTTAATGCGTGGACCTTATCAGTTTCGTGAGTTGGTAGAGATATTGTATTCATTTTATTGTTGCAGCTTCATGGGTCATGCAGTTTTTGCCTACTATACATGATTTGAGTTACATGTAGGAATACGCAACTGGAAGAAAGCCATAGATGTGCTATTTTCTTATGATTGTTTATTAGGAGCTCTAGAAAAAGAAAAATATGTTTTCTATTTTCATGTTTCTTTTCCTGGTTTTGTAACTTTCTTGGTGCTGTAAATTGAATTTCGGAAACAAAAATAAAAAAAAAGCCAGCTTTATTTATCTGGAAGGAACTATATTGGGTTTTGTGCCTCTGCGTATTGCATTTAACTCACAAGCAAACTGCATCATTTAAGGCCGGTGGTATGTGAATGGTGAAAATGGCCTTGTGTCAAGTCTTTCGAACTAAAGACTTCACAGTTCATAGTGATGTTGTCATAAAATGGCAATGCTTTGCATTGGAGGCCATCATTTGCCTTGGCGGGATTTCACAAGGATCAAGGCCTCCATTTGAGTTTAAATGTTTATTTTAGGCAAGGTTTGGGTGTTCTGAGATGAAAGAGAATGAAAGAGCAAAGTGTGGTGGCATAATCAACAAATAAATGCTTTTTTTATCCTAGTAAAATCTGAGAACTTGACCCAACTTTTGTGTTTTCGTGAAGTTTAGGAACATGTCCTCTCTGATAGTCAAATTCAGGATCATTATGCTCAAAGTCTATCTGCGGGTTTGTACGTTGTAGGAATGTATCTTCCAGAGAAGACATGCATTAGAAAGCAACGTTTATGATGAATTTGGTGTTGGAATTTGACGGTCATTTGTAAACTCATTATTATTGAGCTTGAGGCATTTTAGCTTATTTGTGAAAATCTCTAGGCGTATAGACGTAACATCATACGTGAAAAAAGTGTTGAATTGGACGTTATCAATGAGAAAATGGTATAAAATTATTTGGGCTTGTTTGGTTACATGCAAAGGTTTTTAAACGTGCAGGTTAAAAAAAAAGATAAAATAGTATAAAGTCTTTTAAAAGGAATAGAAAAAAGCCAAAAAAAACATTTAATGAAATTATTAAGTGAGATCTTTCAATTAACAATATACTCAAAGATTTAGTTTATAATATAACTCAATGACACGATTCATGTGACCAATCCTACTTAATAGGATAATAGTAACATGCAGCAGATTTAATGAAGCCACTCCAAAACGGACTACTAGATTTTAGAAGGTCCCTCTCTTCCAAGTCAAATGCTCTTCCTCCGAGTCTAATTGCTTCTTCAATCAGGTTCCCTGACCTCTCAATGCAGAGCATAAAAAATATAAGCATAAAAGGTCACCGTAACGAAAACCCTTGTTGCGCCTCAAAAGCTTCAAATTCCTTGCCATAAAACAATTTTCTGTATGACTGCTTTTAACAGAACTCGTAATCTTGTAAACCCAAAAAAAAAAAAGGAAAAAAAAAACCTCGTAATCTTTACAAAGTTCTGCTAAAACACTATATTTTTCCAAGTCTCTGTAAGAAAATTTCCACAAGAAAGTTCACAAAGCAGCTCTTCAACGCCAAGAATTTAATTCTAATATTATAAGGAACAACAAATGCATTTATGTACAGTAATTTTGGCTAGAAAAACAAGGGATAAATTGGGATCCATACTCCTTAGTATGCACAGGAAGAATCGCTCTTTTGTGTGCGTGACAGTAGAATATCCCAGTCAGTACAAGGGCCTTAGCTTGATCTTAACAAACAACAATCCAGCCAAATCAGGCGGGCAATTATAGACATCCTCTTAATACATACCCAAAAATCATAAACTATAAAGAAAACTTGACACCTTCATCATCTGCTGAAGTTCCCTTGAAGATGACAAGCTTCCCTTTCTGTTCCAACAGTTTCAAAGCACGATTCAAGATCGTGCGGTCTATCCCATGAAGCTCTGCAGTATACCAGAAAGTTCCAGAATGCCAATTATAATCACAAGACAAATTTTTCCTACCACAGTTTCGATAGCAACGAGCATAGAAGGGGGAAAAAAATACTGGATAAGTAGATATAACTATATTTCATGAAGACCATCTTTGGCGTGCTAAATCTATCGGAAGGATGGCTTTTATTCCAAATACAGGGCGGATACAGCTCAGAAAATTACCTGTTCCTTGAGATTCAGTCCCTGAGCACAGTTCCTCTACCGTCACCACGCCGTCTTCCAATCCATTATCTTTTGCCTAGTCAATATGGGGCAAATTCAATTAAAATGCATTAAATAACAGCTCAAGCACCAGGATTACAAAAATGCTAATCGTAACTTACAAATTGTACAACAATATCAGCCCAATCTTGAATCCGGTGCCAGAGAATAAGACATTTTTTACGCCCTTTATCCATCCATTCAGCTCGTCCTGCCAAATCAGATCTGAAGTTTATGTGTTTCCTCTCAACCAAACTCAAGAAATTTAACTCAATTGTATGACCACAAACCTTCTGAAACTAATGCAGACAGGAAGGCTTCTCTGGCTTCATGACTCAGGGATCCTGCACTATAAACAAGTCAAAAAGCAATCCACATGGCAAAAGAGGTAAATAAGCAACATAGACAACTAGAGCATTTTGTATGACCTATCAATTTGATTCAGGGATACAATAAAATCAATAAGCGGGCAGGAACGATGATCTTACTTTCAATTGCAGGATTTGAAAATAGAAGGAATTCGTCTTCAAGACCAACTACAAATATCTTCTGTGTTTTGCAGTAATCTAGGATAAGATCTTTCCACAACTGTACTTGCTTCTCCCTTGTGTCTCTCACAGGCTGCAAACTAAAAAAACAACCACGCCAGAGGCACAAGCCTAATCAACCATGAGTTTATTTTTCCCCCTTTTGATTTCTCAGAAACACCCCACATTCTTTTAGAGTGGGACTAATCTCACTCAGTACCTGTGGTTGCCCCACTCCACAAGAGTTTTCAGTGATTTCAAACCCCTAAATTTGTAGAGTTCCCTCAACAATAGTTCAAACTACTAATCAACCGCAAGTTTCTGACTGGTTAATATAACAATTAAATATAAATACAAGCATGATAATGAACACCACATGCGATTGAATTTTTAGAAATAAAAGAATCTATTATGCAACAACATTCATATGCAACATGAAGCATATATACTGTTTATTCGATTGGGATTTTTCACAATGGCTCTTGATACTATCATAAAAAATATCTCAGCTGATGGAACCCAAACTATTTGGTATGAAAATCTCCGAAATTTGGCACAGATATCCTCTTGGCAACTAAAATCACTTCCTGCTTGTCCTCGTATAGATATCATGAGAGTGACAAATCTGATCAGTTCTGAAATGTTTGATTTGGTTCATCTTTTCACCAATTTTCAGTACTGTCTAAAGCGTACAAAGCCATCCCTTGTGGGGTTTAGAAGAAAATTCTCAGACCAGATACTATAGACCAGTGGAATAGCTAATGCAATACTGATATAATATTCGTAAAAACACAGCTGCAGTTTTCTTTTGTAGCTCATCCTCCTAAGTGACGATAAATGATATGTATGTCAACCCACAGAAGGTCAATACAAATAATTGACATGTCTGTCAACTCGCAGAAGGTATACACGTCTTGTTAGTAAATGTGTAAACTAGAACTACCAACATGGACATCAAATCATCAAAATTGGCATTCGTCAACTCCCTAAAAAATTACACAGTATATAAAGAAAAGGCATTTACGTGAAGTATGGTGGATAATTGAAGAAATGGGGTAGCTTGAACTCGCCCAGTTTCTGCATTTTCTCAAATGCTTCCTCCAGAACAATAGGGATATAGTAATTATGCAGCAGGTCTTCTTGATGCTTGAATATCTTCAACTAGTCGCTTATAACCTCCTACATGCAGGTAAAATTTCTGGCACGTAAATACAATTACATACCTTGTACATTTCGGAATAAATGGTAAAAAGATACTAAGTAAATAAATATGCAACAACTGTACTTCAAAATAGTACCCTACATTAACACCCAGAAATATTTACTTCCATAAAACTTCCCTCCAATGTGAACAAACTTCTAGGTAGGCAACAATTTTAAACTAATTTATATCCACAGTGGACACCGAAAATAAACAAAGAAAGTCTCACCGTACCTGATTCAACCACCTTTTTTTTTTTGGCAATGTTTTGTTGTTATACATGTAGACCTTTATTCTAGGTTATCTTCTATCTTTGCAACTGCTATTTCCTTTCGAATTTGAGGTATGTATTGACTCTTTCATTAAAAAAAAATATTTACTAGGGTGGAAATGTGAGAAAGAGATGATGAAATTCAAGCAAATTATCGCCTCTGCCTGCTAGGTTCTGAAAAATATAACAGTTAATAGCCGAGAAATCCAAATAGAAGACGCTACCTTCAATCGTCGGCGAGCGCTTTTAGCAGAACTGTGATCCTCTCTCTCAACTGGAGACCCTGCACAGAGACGCAGTCCGATTAGGAAGGGTTCGGTTTGTCTCCTGATTCTTTGCGTTCCATGCTGTCCCGTACAGATTCGCAATACTGGCCGTCAATTTGATCTAGCGATCAGCATATGTAATAACGTAAAACGCATGCTCGACTGCTCCAATGCTTGACGGAGCAACGCTGGTCGCTGGTGCCTGGTGGTGGCTGGAGCTCGACGACGACGAGGGAGGGAGACGGAGTCACGCGACGCGAGCTGCGGGACAGCGATGCGATGCGATGCGTGAGTGAGAGACACAGCGAAGCGACAGACGAGGGTGCGAACTGCGAAGGTAAGGCCGGGGGAGAATGAGGCCTCTAGGAAAGGGAAAGCCGAAAGTGAATAAAAAATTTTTTTTTTTAAAAAAAAAGGATGGCGGGTTATGGCCTCATCAAGGCCGGTTGGCGGGCAGGCAAACTGGCCACAACCCCATATTCTGGGCTCTACTTGGGCCTTCCTCATTTCTTTCTTCCGCCTCCAATATTTCATTTCTTCTTTTATTAGAGGAACGGACACAATTAAAAGTACCCAAAAAAAAAATTTACAACCTCCTTGTATTTTTATGTCAGGAGATTATTAAAAATTAAAATATTGGCATGACCCACAATACTATTGGCTGCATGCATTTTTTTTAAATGGTAAAAAAAAAAGTGTTTGAGATGAATATATAAAAGGGTTAGATTGACATTTATTTAAACCAAAATAGTAAAAATTTGTTTAAGAAGATTTGATTGGGTAAAAAAAATATATATTTTAGTCCTTCAATTTTTAACTCGCTTATAATTTAGTTTTTGAAGCTT